TGACGGACTAATTGGCAGGCAGGCATGCATGTAGAAGAGAGAGAGAGAGAGAGAGAGAGAGAGAGAGAGAGAGAGAGAGAGAGAGAGAGAGAAAGAGAGAGAGAAAGAGAGAGTGATGCAGAGACGGAAAATAAAACCGTTGAAATATTATACAATATTATTATTAATTTTAATAATATAATTTCTCTCACGCAGTTCCCAAGCCAGTCCCCCTTCGTTGCCACAGTTCTGCAGTGACCCTCAAGTCTAGTGGTCAATTTTACAACAAGCTCATCTTCTCTTTCCTGCCGGACCAAGACGGTGTCATTCTGTGCTGAGGTCATTCACTGTTTGTCTCTTTGTTTGTTTGTTTGTTTGTTTGTTTGTTTGTTTGTTTGTTTGTTTGTAAGTGTGTTTATGTTTGTTTAGTTTGTGTGGTTGTTTCTTTGTTTGTTTGTCAGGTTAGTTTGTGTGGTTGTTTCTTTGTGTGTTTGTCTGTCTGTTTGTTTGTTTGTTTTTCTGTTTCTTTATTTGTTTGTTCGTTTGTTTGTATGTTTATAATAAATAGATTATGTCTGCTTGTTATACGTTTATACATTTATTTGTTTTAAAATTATTGGTTCCTGTATTAATTTGTTTGCTTGTTTGTTTGTTTGGGGTTTTTTTCTTTTGCTTGCTTGTTTGTTTATAATAAATATATTTTGTATTTGTTTTTATATGTTTATATATATATTTATTTGTTGGGGGGGGGTGTAATTTGTTTTTGTATTTTTTGTTTGTTCGTCTGTTTGTCTGTTTGTAATTAATAAATCTGGTGTTTGTCTGTGATGTGGTTATATAATATGTATTTATTTGGATGTTATTTGTCTGTGTGTTATTTGTTTATGTATTTGTCTGTTTGTTTGTTATTAGGTTATTCATTTGTTTGTTTGTCTGTCTGTTTGTTGTTTGATTATATTGTTTCTTTTAGTTGTTTGGGTTGTTTTGTGTAGTCTGTTTATGTGATTGTTTGTTTATTTCTTCACACACATATTCCCTCTCTCTCTCTCCCTCTCTCTCTCTCTCTCTCTCTCTCTCTCTCTCTCTCTCTCCCTCTCCCTCTCCTCTCCCTCTCTCTCACTCTCTCTCCCTCT